GAAGACGACGAATGCGAGCCCGAAGCTTTGCCGAGTTTTGCCGAAGCGCACGCTGCATTGGCGAAAGTGAAGTCGTTCTTTTATGCGCATAGTATTAGTGAACGTGACGAGGAAAACATTTTGAACGTGGAAAGTGCTCTGTTTGGTCTAAAACGTAAAGTTTCGACAAACCAGTTGTCCATTAAAGACTTTTTTGGTAAAAAGAAGTAACTTTGAAAGAGAAACATTGTTTTTTTTTAAATTTTTAATGCTTTCCCGCATTCATCGTTTTTATTTCCCACCCCCGCCGAAAACGATGCATCGAGGTTTCACTGTATTTACTGTACTTTGAATTTTTTTTTCTACACTGCAAACAAGTAGTGTTGTAATGACTATGATTCATTAAGTATAGAAAATTGAAATTGTCATAATCATACTGAGACATTCTTTTTTATGTCTGTGTTTCTCATTATCCCATGTGTGCTGCATCACCACATATCTAATCTGCCTTCGATTTGATCACTAATCATATTTGGTAAAGAGTACAAATTATGAAGGTTCTCATTATGAAATTTTCTGTGCTGTTACTTCCTGCCTCTTTCAGCTGAGAATTTGGGAGTGTGTCCTAGCAGAGCTTACATGTGATCTTTCTGACCTGTTCTGATGCACTGTTTAAAGTCTGCTGCTGGAAACATTTGTAATATTGTTATGATGTGTGAATGTATTTTATCATGAAAGGGGTGTTACTTATTTTCTGTGTAGTGTATTTTATCTGGCAGTAAACTTCTCTTAATCTCTGATAATGAATGGTGAGCAAAAAGTGTTAGTAATCGTAGTCAGATGTCAAATGGATCACTTTAAACTAATTTTTAAGCTTTGATTTTCTCACATTGGTCAAGGTATCAATCAGTCTTCTGAGTTGTGATCGGTTTTGGTCTTGTAGGTGGTTAGCAGTGTTTTGAAGGAATTGAAATACCTTGATTTAAACTCCTTATTTCTGACATGAATATGTAGTACTTACTTGGAAAGTATAAGAAGTAATATTTAACTCTCTAATCTGGACTCTGTATACCAGTTATTGCTGATGATACAATTCAATGTAAGCGCTCAGGCTAAAAATTAAGTCCAGTGAGAATACTCCATTAATTGATTAATTATTGCATAGAAAATTACATAACATTCTACAATAAACACTACTTTGAAATTATTTTGCAGATATATATAGTAACCTCACAGAAAGGGTTCTCTTAAACATCTTGTGTTATGAGAAGGTTTGTATGTGTTATTTCACTGACAAACAGAAGAGTAATATTTTATTGGTCAAGTGTTCACAGATTGACCATATACAGTAGGGTATGAGAGGTTTGTTTTGCTTGACACACATTGTTTTTAAAGGTTTGAAGGTTTTTGATGTATGTTATTGTAAGTAGAGTCCCATTAATACTTTATAGGATAATTGTACAAAAATTATTTTATAATGAGACACCTTGTATGTGAAGTTTGTGTGATATGGCATTATATCTCTTGCAAGTCAAACTGATATTATTCTTGCCACTTTCAGCTATGCTACTGCAAAGAAAAATGATCCCAAGGAAGAAAAAACACATTTGACTTCTAAACAAGAAGCAACCTTATGGGTGCAATTTCTGTACCACCTAAAAAAACTAGACAAGTTGCCTGTTGTAGCTTTCACTTTATCAAGAAATCGCTGTGATCAAAATTCAAAGAAATTGACCTCTTTGGATTTAACGACATCAAGTGAGAAGTATTTCATACTTAAGTTCTTTAACAGAAGCATACAAAACTTAAAACAGCAAGACAGAATTCTCCCTCAGGTGAGCTACAGTTTATGTATTTTACAGTCATTAATCTTTATCAGTTATAGTTAAATTAGAACCACAATTCTTTGTGTCTGTTAATTGTATACAGATATAATTAGATTTTAATTTGTGTAGAGTAAATATTCTACTGCCCCCATTTCATGGATTAATTTAATCACTCATTCAATTATACAAACATTTGGCGTTACAAAAACGTTGATGCAAAAGTCTGTGCAGGAAATTACAATGACACCAGTGGAAAAGTTCATTAAATGTAGGTCAGTGAAGTAACTTCTTGTATCTTTTATTTACACTGCATATCACACATTCTGATTGCTTGCTATAATGTTTTCTGTTAAAGATACAAATTACCTTGATATACATTTTTTAAGAGATCATTGATGCAAAATATTTACATAATTACTGTGTGCAGCCTACATTGAAATTTTGAAAAGAAAATAATAATTTAGTATCACTTATTGCTATGTAGTGTTTATATTTAAAATGTAGGATTTGAGGTTTTCACAGCAGTGAGCCTGAAGATGGCTGTCTTATTTTTATATTTAAAATGTTCGATAGCATCATCCAGTTGTAGGCCATGCCTCATCATACAGTTATGGATGTATTTTGCCCATTTGAAGACAGTCACGTGGATTTATAGGCAAGGCTAGTAGAACACTTGAAACAAAATTGTTAGTAAATTGATACATTGATAGGAAACTGGCCCTTTTCAAAGCCGCATGTGAATTATTACGATAGAAAAGTTCCAAAAGCAAACCTTAGAGAAATTTTGTGTATTGATGGCTGAACTTTGGATCTTATACAGATCCAAATATTGATATTGGATAGGAATGACATCATAAATGAAATGAAGATTTGAAAATAACATATCAATAGAGAAATAAAGAAATTCAGAAAAGTTCTTTAACACTTGGGAAGAATGCCTGAAAACTGAAGCTTATGTAACAATATAAACCAAAAGGCAGAAGATGATTGTGATGTGTAACAAAAGGAATAAACCAAGATAAATTTGTTGTTTATTATGATGATGAAATTTATACTTGCAATGTACTCATCACTTTTATGTGCAGATTGTGAAACTTAAAGATCTGCTGAGACGAGGAATTGGAGTACATCACAGTGGTATCCTGCCAATTCTGAAGGAAATAGTGGAGATGTTATTTCAGAAAGGATGGGTTAAGGTATGTGAAACAGTAAATTATTTGTCATTGCTATTTACGTCTTTGACTGGTAAGAACAAATGGGTACTATGGCTAAAATATGGCAGATTATTGGTCTCTGCACTCTGGACTGGTTAGGCATGTAGTTCTTTTATATCTCATATCATATATGAGATTCAGAATTATATTGTAGATCCTATCATCTGGGATAAGGAATTGTTAATTTTTAATATCAGATGAGTAATGCCATGATTTAGATTATTTTATAGGATACTCGCAAAAGCACTCTTATGTTACCTACATTTTTGTAAAAGAAACTGTACTGAAATATTTAATACAGTTTGTTTCTTGCGACAGTCTTATGAAATCAATCTCGGGTTCTTGTCTGAGGGAAGCCATTTTGATAGAAGGAAAACATCCAGGAAATGCACATGAAACTGTGTGCTGATGACGTCTGTCATCTTCTGGAAGTGTGGGAATACACTAAATGCTTGGATGGCAGCTGTGTTAAAGAATTATAATTTCATGTGGTTGATAATAAGAATTACTGATGTTACCACTTCTGTTGCTTCTCTTTATGTCTGGCCCATATATATTAGTTCTTTTGTAATCATGTGGCATGTTAAACATGAAATTATCCTTTTTTATTTTTGTTACCTCACTTTGTTAATTACTTCAAGTAAAAGCAATAGGCCTGCTTAAAAATTTGCATAGGTTTGTTCTGAATTGCAAAGAACTTTTCTTGAAACAATTAATCTGTGTTCTTGTAGCTACTCTTCGCAACCGAAACTTTTGCCATGGGTGTCAACATGCCTGCCCGAACAGTTGTGTTTGATTCCATTGTGAAATTTGATGGTTTTGAAATGAGAACATTGAAGCCTGCTGAGTACATCCAGATGGCAGGACGAGCAGGCAGAAGAGGACTCGATAAAACAGGAACTGTTATCATCTTGTGCAAGGGATCTGTTCCAGAAAACACTGTTCTCAAGGAAATGATGCTTGGTTGGTTCTTTGAGATTCTTAATAGTGTTTAATATGTGCTTATGAAGCAGCTTTAATTTTTACTTTACATCTAAATTAAACATACATTCTGACATTGAGCTATTGCTTGTATAGTGTGTGCTAGATAAACTTAGAAGTTGTTATAGCACTGCTAACTAACCCATGATTACAAGTATGTATAAATGTATTTAGTTAATGATGGATGGAGTACATTAATGTTTATGGTAAATATTTATCCAGTCTTCAACAAAAGATGTATGTTTATTAGCAATAATCTTTGTCTGTTGTGGGTCAAGATCTTTATTCTGAATTCTGTATGTTTATTTATGTTACACTTTTATTTATACAGGTAAACCATCAGAATTGGAATCAAAATTTAGGCTTACATACTCAATGATTTTGAACCTGTTCCGAGTGGAGAAGATATCAGTAGAAGGCATGATGTCACACTCATTCAAAGAGTTTGGTTTCTTAAGTCACCAGAAAGTATATGAGAAGGAACTGAAAACTGTAAAAGAGAAGATAAAGGAAATGTATTCAAACACTCAGCAACAAGAACCTCATTGGAAGACACTGTCAGACTTCTATGACATGGCAGCAGAATACCTCCGATTATGGTCAGATGTCCGAGTATGTATTATGAATAAAACTGTATTCACCTCTCAGAAATGCAAGAACTGATTCCTTTTAAATATTTTATAAGAATTTTTACCTGAACACATTTGATTGTTGAGCAGGTCTAAAAATAAGATATTAAACCATATTGATACCAGAGCTGCCATCTAACTAGCTCAAATGAGTGAGATTTTTGGTGGTGCAGTAATATATTTATCTTTACTGATATGCCTTATTCCTGTTTTATCTCAAGAACCCTACAGATAGTCTCTTTCTAAGTTTTTTAATACATGTTGCTGTTGGTTGATACTGCAGTAGTGCTGCTTGTGGAATTGGTCTTTGTTTTTTACCCCTTATGTGTTGCATTTTTGAGTAAACATTCAGGAGTTATGCTATTAGACTTCATCATGAAATATGTTGCAGGCACACATCTTGACACATTTGAAATATGTGAAAGAACTAACACCAGGCAGGATACTGTTGATTAGCCACAAGGAACATATCAATAAGCTTGGAATCCTATTGAATGTAGACACACGCAAAAAAAAGATGCAATCATCTGACAAAGATAAGTCAAAAGAACAATATGAACATGATCCATTGTGGTACAAGATGCTTGGTCTAGCAAGAAAAAAGAAAATTTTTATACCAGATGGAGTTGGTGGACATACTGTTCTGACCATGCCTGCCAGTGATGTAATAGACATTGTGAAGCACAAGGTCAGTGTAGACACAAACTTGGTTATTCAAGACTGGGAGAAGAGGCAGATACCAAGGTTTAGGTAAGAATCAAGCAATATTTGCCATAAATTGTATGGCAGAGGTATTAATCACCCTTTGAATTAAATTTTCCCTCCACCACTCTTGCTTAATTGTGATGCAATTTCAGTATAACAGTGCAGACTGGCCACTATATCTAGAATGCTGAAAAATATGTAAACTATGAATGGAGATTCCACTTTCACCCCTGCTGTTGGGAGAAATCTCTTCTCTCTTGTAAGACTTGAGGTTATCACAGCGGTGAATATGAAGATTTCTGTCTTCTGGGTTATTGTGCTGTGTAGTCTGGTCTTCTCTCTTGTCTTACGGATGTCACTGTACAGTTACACTGTTGTCAAAGTTATTGTGACTGAGTGCCTTGTATGGAAGATGGTGTATCAACATGGTGTTCAAAGTTGTTCACAATGGGAAAAGAGTATTGTGAACAAGTGAGAGCAATAATTTTGCAGTGCTTGCTTTCCCTAGTAGTGCTGTCACTTTCTTAGTGGGGAACAGCAGGGGAGAGATTCACAAGGCTGTGAAAATGAATGCAGCACTCTGACCCCTACCACAGGTTTTAGATTTGTTGGTTCTGTAGTAATATCAATAATATCACAAACAAGTGTGAACACAAAGCATTAAGATCCAAATGTATAGTATTTTGCCTTGTTTTGAATCACATTGCTGTTGATGTATTACTTCCTTGTGTACACTTAAATGTAGTGTGTTCAAGTCACATTCACAAAATGTAAAGATATATATGGATCTAATATGTCAACATGAACTTGATATAGTAGGTTGGCAGACTTGTGAAAGGTATGGGAACCAGGATGTATGTAATAGTTTTCACTGTTTTCCATTGGTGCCTGAGGAACCAGTATTTTATGGTGGTACAGGCTAGATGTAACAGAGTAGGTGCTGAGTATTATGTGAGATTGGTAGCATAGTCAGGTGCATATTAAACTGGTACTGAAAACAGAACAAATCAATGTTTTGATTGAACTCAACAAGAATACAAACAGAGCAGCAGTAAAAGCAAGACGAAACAAGCATTACTCTGGCCAAGTGACATGAATTGAAAATGTAAGTAAATATATGAATATTTACTTATTCTAGCCCCCATATAACCTGTGTGGAAAGAAAGAGCAGCAGCTTTTGAGAACAGGGCTGTGTATATGATAACCTAAAGATGATCATTTAGTGGTTGAAACATGTTTGAACATGACTCAGCAAGTCTGCATAATAACATAATAGTTCATTTGTAATCGCAGATAGGTGTGAGATTTGAGGTTTCCATGGCAATAAGAATGGTGGTGGTGGCGATCAACATCTGGGTTTTGATGCCATGCAGACTCATAGATAGATGCCACTCATTCTCCAAAACATTGACATCCGCCTGTTAGTCTACGTGACATCAGTCTCTGAACATCATCGCTGAAGATGTGTGAAAGTGACAAGGAATAAATCTGTATGCTTAAAACAATAGAATGCTACAATATGAACTTAAGCAAATCTAATTTTATTGTCTTAAATACTAATCATTCAGTTCATACAGTGCTGTGTAATGAATTGTGCATTTATGTGTGTTGTGTGTGCAGTTTGTTTTCCTTCGGTCAGTTCCAATTTCTTTCTTGTTCCCAGAGATGATCCACCTGGACAAACATGCAGTCAGGCTATTCAAAAACTGACTGAGTTCACTCAGAATGTGTCATCAGGCATTGTGTCTCTGGAATTTGTGAGCCAATCCAAAGACATACTTTTGAAGGACTTTGAGCAGCTGCAGAATCTAGACAAGTTGGACGTTCTAGAGCAGAAGTTGAATGACTGCACCAGTACAGATATTGCCAACTTTGAACAACTGGTAATATGTCATATGCATATTCAAAATTTATATTATATTTTTCACCTCAACATAGTAGTCTCTTAGTAAAAGTCATTCAGTCTGATTAATATGTAGGTAATGAATACCTCCTTGTTAGATGATTCACATAAGGTGGAAACATCTTAAGGAAAAGAAGAAGAGAAATATCTCAATGTGATGCACACCAGGCATTTCATTCACACTTTTATCAGATGCCTTGTTAATGTTTGCTGAAGATGTGGGTGAATCTGTGATGTCATGTTCTTATCCTGATATGAGTGCTGATCATCTGAATTTTATATAATTGCAAGGGTAAATAATTGTTATATAAATCTAATACATTATAAAATAATGTTCTTTCTTCAGTTTGAAGAAGTATTCAGGTGTAAACAACTGGAAGAGAGGAGTAAGCATCTGCAGTTCAAGAAGTCATATAAAAGTTTATCATCATATCAGGAGTTCCAGGAGAGAGTACTTGTACTTCAAAAGCTTGGGTACATAGACTCAAAGAACTCAGGTGGGTAAAAAGAAGAGTATTATGAATGATATCCTTCTGGGATATTGCACTGTTATTCATTCTGCAAGTAACTTTTAGAGAAATGGTACTCTTTACACATCAGAATAGATATTTATATAAAACTAATTTCTTAGTACTGAATCAGTGAAATACATAACACAACTTATCAGCCATGCCTGAAAACATGCACTTTTGTTATTTTTTCTCTGTTTACCATTCACTGATGTAGAATAATATCAAAATGGCCAGAAAGTTGAACTTCTGACATTTCTCTGGGATTTCTGATTTGTTGGTCGTAACTCGTGGTCTTTTATATATGTATAGAGTTTCAGATTTTGACCCCATCTCCGAGTGGGAAAAGTATGACAAGCAGACATGCGCATGGGAATTGGATATTCAAGGACAGAACATAATATTTTGGGACTGAATCATTCTCTTGTAGTAAATAGAAGTCACATAATCAAATTTCTCCTTTTTCAAATTGTCTCCTAATATCCTGCCACCTGTTAAGGCATTTCTGGTGTTCTTATTTCAGGATGTTCAATTTCTGTATCCATTTTTGGATGATCTCTGTTCCTTTCTGAAATCCCTTTTGTGTATTCAAATTTGGAAAACAGAAACAAGTCATTAGGTGTTAAATATAGCGGAGCCAGTAGAATATTTTGTATGCTTGGTGAAGAATTCCCTTATGGAGAGCAAGTGAGCTAATACATTTTTGTGATGCAACATCAACAAATCCATCTTCCATTCTCAGGTGGTTTCCATTGAACTCCTTCTCTTAGATGTTTCAGAATGTTAAAATTAAATACCTCATGGCTGGTGTTGCTACTTATTTTATCATTGATATAACATTGTTTCTTCTGTATGCAGTTTTAATGGACAGCCAATACATGGATCACATATTTGTAATGGTTAACTTATAAAAAATTATACATACAGAATTTGTAGATATGTTAATGATATATCTCATCATTTAGCATGCTTCAGTTACCAGCATCAAGTGGAAAGTTGAATATAGATTTCACACTGTTATGATGTTATTGTTTACCATGACAAAGTTTTTTTATGTTATGCATGTTACCATGCATTGTTTTAGGTCCCTACATTTAATGGTGCTAATGTTGCTCCCCACCTCAGTAATTTGGATAGCTGCCAAGTTGGTGTTATTTATTACAGGAAATTTGGAAGTACAAAGGCAGGCCTTTAGTTACATTATGTTCATGCCAGTTTTGGATAAAAAAAATATGGTATTAAGTAGGAGAGATATGGAAATGATTGTACCTTTACTCATAAAATAAGAAAGTAGACTTGATACTTTATATCTCTTTGCTATATAGTGCCAGGTTTTCAGAACTTTTTACCAGAATCTGTATTGTATGTTTCGCACGTTTGTTTTCCAAACAGGTTCTTAAGCTTCTCTAACTGCTTCAGGACTCAATGACTTTTTGTGGCTTTTCTGTTTAAATGAAGAAAATGTTCCACAATAAAAGATTTCTAAGGCACCTTCATTGAACATTTGCAGCAACTTCATGTAGTAAATGGAACTGGGGTACATGATATATAAGGAGCTGCATGTATGGTATTTGTTTTACATGTATTTTATTTCCTGTAGATATGTTCCTATTTGTAAGGCATATTTTATGATTTCTTGTAATTAGTGATTTGATATTAACTAATGATATTTTAAAAAGGATATTAAAGATTGTCTTTGTTAGCTCATTGGTTGTGTATGTGGTTGACAAGCAGTCCAGTTGAAGGGACGAGTTGCATGTGAAATGGGCAGTCATGAGCTGATGATCACTGAAGTGGTACTGCAGTGCATCCTGGCTGATAAGCAACCATCTGAGATTGCTGCTTTGCTGTCATGCCTTGTTTTCCAGCAGAGGACAAGAGAGGAACCAGATATACCAGGCATGCCACTCACACTTCGAAAGGTAATTCATCCTACTATATTTACCTAAATGGAAGACAAGAATTTTTCCCTAATTTCAGAACTAAAAAATTAAGGGTCATCTTGAATTCAGGTATGAAATATGAGATTTTTAAACATCAAGCTTTTAAGAGGTTGATGTTTTAAATATGTAGTATGTGCTAACATTCATGCCACATGATACTGTAATTGTAGAAGGTGAAAGAAATATCAGAAGGCATGAGCTACCACAAATTTGCATATGTACCATTGATGCAAAGAACCAAAACTGCTATATGAGAGATAATTTTATTTCAAAGTCAGGAGCCATGAGCTAATACCTGTTTGCTCAACATACCACTGAAACTATGAATCGAAAACAGTAATTTTCTGTGAAGAAAATCAACTGTCAGTGTAGTGCCTGACTATGGACTGGATGAATGGAGTTTGATCCCTGGCAAGGGCAAAGGATTTTTCCCCCAGCTTCTGCATCTAGGGGTAAATTGTAATCAGGGTGTGATTCTGACCACTCACCCTGAATAAGTACCAAGGTCAAGGATGAATAGTAGCTGTACCTCCTTTCCCTCTGAGCAGTTTTGTAGTGTGTAGGACAGGTTTACTTTAATTTTCCACTAAGATATGTCACAGTGAGGGTTATGAAGGTGGGATTGTTGAAGACAGTAGGTACCAGGGGTAAAGTAGCCAAAGCATGAGGCTGATCACTCACCATAAAGTTTCCATATTGTTTGCCTCCTGTAATACATTACTAAAAATATTTTTGCATATATTAAGTAACATATACAACTCATAATTAAGTATTTTGCTTAGGATGTAGAATATACATTCTTCTTGGTTTTATTTCCACATACCCTGTCAGTATGATACTCATCCCACAACCATTAATGATGGTCGTTACAAATCTCATAATTCAATAATTCCCTAAGTAAGTGAGCATGTTACAAAATTTATTATTATACCACTCATGATTTTAGGGCTAAAAATAAATTTTACAACCCTAAAAACTATCTTTTTTCAAAGACCAGCCAGTTGCCACATTAAGGGTGAAGCCCCAAACTTAGGAATAAGGATATGATCATGTGTTGGTCAGGGCTATCACACATCTTATTTGACAGTGAAGGTGAGTATGGAATGAATTGTTAGTGAAAAACCAAAGAACTTGCAGAGATACCTGCACCAGTGTCATTTTGTCAACCATGAATCACACTTGAAGTCACATGGTTTAAACTCAGATCTCTACAGTAAGAAGCTAGCATCAAACTACCTGAGCTATAGCAGAGTGCAATCATAGTCATTATCATGACTGTGTTGAGTTAAATTTGTATAGGAAAATTAGTGTTGTGTTACTTATGTTATTTGGTGCTTTTTGTAATTGCAGGGTGTAGAACAGATTAAAGAAATAGCAGAAAATTTGAAATATGTGGAGATACAATGTGGCATACAGCCAGGTCGTGATGAACCCAACTTTGGACTAGTGCAAGTTGTGTATGACTGGGCTCAAGGAAAAGTAAGTTTGATCATAAAATTCTGATTGTTGATAGTCTTGTGAAAAAAAGGTAGGGGCAGGGGCAGTCACAGGTAGTCTGTCAGGAAAACACATGGCAATGGACAGTTGAGTGACATGAATGCATCACGTTTTGGTTGCAAGGAAAGTAATTTGATGTTTGTTGTTGATACTTTTGTAATGAGAGCCATATTATTTTACATGTTTCTGTCAAGTTTCTTTAGACTTTATTGTTTTATCCTATAAAAACATGGCATCACTCAGTTGGTGTATGGGCCCGCCGCATAACCTTTAATCCTTCATGAAAATGGCTATGAATTTCAGGCCATTAATTGGTGGGGACATCTTAACGTGTTTTTTAGTTTCCTGTATTCAAAAGTAGTGATGATGTATAATGTGGAAACAAACCTTGTCATAAACATTTCAATTTCACACCTGCTAATTCAGTAATAATAAATCCCTTATATACTAATAATGTGTCTCACTCTTGGATATTGTGAAAGGCCAAGAGAATCTTTAATATTTGAGGATAAATATATTCAGCACACACTCAATTTGCATAAATATTTTGGTGCGAGAAGTACTATGTCAGTGATATCAAACCTTGCTTGTACATTAAGAAGCACCTCTGGCTATAGTAAAAGTCAAAACAGCATCTTTTTCAGAAAAATTCCAACTAGTTATGAGTATGTTATGATTTTAGCTTGGAAACAATAGAACATAATGATAGACTTGTATTTCATTGAGCTGATTCATGTCATTGACTGGACTAAATATTGATAAATTGTAACAGACATCAGAAATATTTTTATCTGTGGATGTGAACACTGGCACACAGCATTTGTGAAATAAACAATTATATGCTTATATTTGCAGTATTTTACTCAGGTAAAAGGTAAACATAAGCCTGTGACAATATACGAAAAGCTTTTCTTATGTTTGCATATATATCTTAATTAATGTAAAACACTTGTAGGTTTGTAGGTGTTATAATGGTTTCAAATATATGTACTTGCAGGCTTTTTCTGAGATTATGGAGGTAAATGAAGATGTCCAGGAAGGTATCATTGTGCGCTGTATTCAGCAGTTAAATGAAACTTTACGTGATGTGAAGAATGCTGCTCACCTAATTGGAGATCAGATACTTAAACAGAAGATGCAGGAAGCATCAGATGCTATCAAGAGAGACATTGTATTCGCAGCTAGTCTCTACACAAGTGAAGAAAATCCTAAACTAAGGCAGATATTAGATGACTGTGAAGATGAAAGTCTTCACCCGATTGGTGATGAGTGAAACCAGGGAAATTCAAGAGATGAAAACAAAACATGTTAAATGAGATTATCGATGATGAACCAGAATGTGCATGTATTACGAATTATAATTACACAAGATAAGATATTGGCTTGTTCTAACTATAATGTAAAAAATATACAATTACAAAAATTCACAGCACACTAGTTGCAGAACACGGCTGGATGACCAGGATTTTTCTTAGCCCCATGTCCAAACTGGTTTTGGGGTCCACCCAGCCTTCTGTCCAGTGGGTAATTGGGGCCCTTTTCCAGGGATAAAGCAGCTAGGGTATGAAGCTGACCACTACCTCCATCTAGTATCAAGGTGAAAGAGTGGAGCTTTTCCTCAACTGCACCATAAATGTTCATGGTGCAGTGCTTAGTAAGTACCAATAAATACATGTGTCATTAATTTAAAAAAACATTAAGAACACACTAAATAAACACGTGTAAATGCCATTTTCATTTCTTAAACAGCTGCATTAGTCATCTGTAAAGGAGAAAATATTGGAGTAAAAGTGACTGCAAATTTGCTAGTGCAGTTTGCTGGGGATATCAGCATCTCATTTTTGCAAATAAAGTTATATAGCAGAATAAACTGAACAATATTTGTGTTCAGTGTTATATTTTCAGTAGTAAATTTTTATTCGCCATCAAATTTTTTATTATTTATTTGAGCCACCTCCAGCTTATATGTGTGTGTCTATAAATATAAACTGAAATAAATTCTGCTCATTTTTTTATAATACTTGTTTCATTTAGAAAAATTACACATAATATTTACTACACATGTTTAAAATATCCATATTTCTCACTGCTATGTATTATTGTTTGTCACCACATCTTTGACAATATTCTGAAGTACCAAGAAAACTATATTGGTGTGAACATATTTTCCCATTGCGCATGTTTTTCCCTACCTTAGTAATCTGCAACATGTTATGTGCTTTTCATTTTTTTCTGTTGGTACTATTTATATTACTGATATTTTACCTGCCCTTCATGTGTATGTTCATTCCTTTCTGAAGACTAAGTGTTACTTATATGGTCCTCATCAGTTCTACACATCATGTCATGCATGGGCCTTATTTTACTGTGGTATTCAACAATCTCAAACAAACTATAAAACTCTTAGCACTGGTTCAACTATTAATTTTCGTAACCTGTTGTGTGTGTATATGTATGAACGTAAATTTCTTGGACATTCATGCACCATCCCTTCCTTATATAGTCTATTTTATCTCAATTTATGTTCTTCTTATGCGTAATGATTATTTAATATATATAACTTCATCCTATACAGAATATATGTCATATACTAAACTAATTGAGACATCATGTACAGCATTACAGAAGGCATAACATGACTAATGTCATATGATTTATACAGAAAGAAATATTTAAAGAAAAAGCCTGATTTAATACTTTAATTCAATTCAATAAACACACATTTAACAACATGACTTCATACCTAACCTTAACTTCCAGTACATATGAGAGAATTATTTCAAATAAACTGACCATACTTGTGTGTAGGATTTCACAAACATCAAACCTCTCAGAGTGCTCTTTGCTCATTACCAGCCATTTGTCCCTGGCCTTTGCTGACTTCACTGATACACATCCACTGGCTTTCATTGTTCTCTCGCCAAAGACTCACTTTATTATCACCACCTGAAACTGCCAAGATGTTCCCAGTATGGGACCAACTCACATTCCAAACTACATCATCAAATGTATGTAAGACTGCTGGTGTCCAGGTGATATTATCATCACTTGACCATATGATAACACGTCTGTCCTGAGAACAGCTGGCAATGATGCTACGTGGTAGACCAATAGATGGAGCCCAGGCCACATCACGTACCCAATCTGAATGAACTTCTAGTTTGGCTTCTTCAATCCAACGATCTCCTTCCTCCTTCCATATCTTTACCAAATTATCACATCCACCTGTTACAAGCCTCTTTACTAAAACAGGTGATCTACTTGCAGCAGAAGCATCAAAAGCTGGATTAGGTGCTGTGGCAGGGCACCAGCTAACTGCATTACATCCGATTGTGTGGGCATTTGGAATTTTCTTTGCTTCCCAATTTCCAGTGTCAGGATTACTGGTGAGAATAGACAACGAACCATCAGAACTTCCACATGCCAGCATAAGTCCAAATTCATGTGGAGCCCATGCTACAGAATTTACCGAGGAATCGTGACTGCTGTATTCATACAATTTTACCCACTCGCCCACTTCTTTCCAGACGATGACTCTTCGATCATAAGAGCATGAAGCCAACAAATTTCCGTATTTTGGATGCGCCCAAGCTACTTGCCAAACTGGTCCATAATGTCCTTTCAGGTCTGCTGTCAATGTTTGTGTGCCATTTTTAATGTCATAAATTTTCACCGAGTGATCTGACGAACATGTTGCCAAGCGAAGGCCGTAATAATCCATTTCAGCATCATGTATCATGTCTTCGTGTCCTGTATCTACAGTGTTCAATACGGAAACCATGTTGTTTCTTTATCTCTTTACAGCAAAACAGAAACTTTGTTGATACTTCTACCACGATATAAAACACTTCAAACACGAAGCATATACCTTTTCTCAAACGTCAACGTGGAACAATACATGTCCGCCTCAAACCGAAATTTCTCTAGGAAGGATTTCAGTACTCGGTGATAAAAAATGCGTACAATGTACAGAGTAGGAAATCATTGTAATTCGGAGGATCTGAGTGAAATTTGTAAATAGTATGGAAATGAAACACATCATTTTATTTTCATTTAATCGGTTCTAATAAAAGAAGTATCAGAGTAATATATTACTTTGGAACATGTCTTACTTGTGAGGTATGTTCTTGTTGGAAGTAGTGGCTACAATCACAGATAATACTAACAAATAAAGTCAATACGAATCATATGCTGTGAATATCACGTGGTACGAATGAAATTAAATTATTGGCTAATATTTTTGTCGGTTTCGCGGGCTAGTGTGCGATGTATTTACAAGGTTACAGCACTAAAGTAGAACATTTTCGTTTCATGTGATAGATATATTATATAATGGTTCTGCGTAACAGTGGTAATTTTCGGCCAGCGAAGAAAGAGGCTTCGAAAGGGTTTACAGGATCTAGGTGAGGCTATATTTTTATAGTGTAATAAAAAGGAAAATAGAAGTGATGTAGAGGCTGAATTAAGAGATTGGAGTAGGGGTACTGTCTAGTTCCTTTGGCCAAGTATAATTATTTTTTTATTAGTCGTGTAAGGTAGGTGAAACCCAAATTCTGTTACAGGTTACCAAGCTTAGGTGAGAATAGATATGCTAGCGGCTAATTTTAAATGTATTATTTTGAGACTAATACTCATAAATAAAACCCAGTTTCATTGACAGGCAAGGAAGTTGGGTAAGTCAGTATAGTTTATTAGGAACAGTAACTAATGTTTCCAACTTTGTGACAGGAATACATGGTCATGTTTTTGTAAAGACACTCACTGTAACCAAGAACTAATGAGTAGAGAATGAAGCTGCTGTATGCCCTGATTTTTGGATTACTGAAAGTTTGAAATTTTATGCCCAAGTATGAAGTGAACAAACTCAGAAATTGTATTACAGGGAAGACGCGTCAGAACTTCGACTTCGAGAATCGCTTGAGAGTGATGCCATTGATTCAAAATATGGATTTGAGCGGGTTGCAGATCATCTTGAACGGACAGGATTTCTTATTAACATGCATACTGTATGTATTATGAATATATTTTGCAGCTTCTTTAATAAGTAGTTACCGTGCGACTATGATTTTTGCCGAGAAGCAGAAGAATCTTCTAGTTTAATGACAGGCCACTTTAGCAAGTAGCCTATGTTGAAATACCATTATCCATATGCTGAAGAAACAGAACACCTCAGCTTTATACAACCTACAAAATCTGTATCTCTCTCTCAGTTTCTGTTGGCTACCATTCTTTATGAAATGAAACACTTCCCACTGACCATTTGACATGTACTGTAAGTATTGGCAGGAGCCATAGTCATTTGATTTTCAGGATGGGAACAGTAAGAATCTCTAAAATGTCAGTGGTACACCCAACATCTACATAAGCCATCACTCAGAAACAGGATCCACATAGCATAAAACTGCTATGAAAACTTGAAATGTCAAATGTATGGGATGTGTAATTACATTTGAATTAAAAAAATTTCAACAGAAATTGTAATTTTTAGTATGCGAAGTACAAGAAATATATAATTTTCCCTAACTTTCAGCCATAGGAATTACTTGAGAGTTTGAGTAGTTTTGCACAATTTTTCCAGGCTGTTCTAACAAAAGAAACATGTTTGCAGCAATGGATTTTTATTTGCCGTAATTGAACATCTAGGTCAATGAAGAATTCAGTCTAAAAATATGTGTATTCCAGAATGAAGTACATACCTTCCATTCTTGTCAAGTACATGGCTGTTCAAATATAAAATTATTATTTTGTAGACGGAAGTATTGGATGAAGATAAAAGACTTGTCAGTGCTGTGGAATACTACTTTATCCAGGAGGATGGCAGCAGATTCAAAGTGTCATACCCATATAGGCCATATTTTTACATTCTTACTAAGAAAGAAAGCATTCAGGAAGTGTCAGCATTCCTCACAAAGAAATTTAGTGGCTCACTGGCAAAGGTGGAGATGGTGACTAAGGAAGATTTGGATTTGGTAAGTTACTCTTGTGCAACTATTTATCTGTTTTAGAAGTACATTTGTTATCACTTTTATCTTTCAGCACATTTTTCTGAGAAAAATTAATGTTTTTACAACAGGTGTATGTATGTGCACATGCACATTTCCGTGTGTGTGTCCTTTAAGACATTTTGAAATTTATCTTCTGCTTTCTGGATTTAAAAAATTGGGAAGGAATCAAGAAATTATGTGAACAGATAGGGTATAATTTATTCATAATTAATTTAATACTTTGAAAATTAAAATTACTTCATGCCACAAAAGCAATATTATACAGTTCCATTATTTTAAAACATTTTGAAGAAATGAACAAGTAAGAGTGTTAGACATTTGTTTTACATACTTTTAGTATGGAATTAAATTATAAATATATCAGATCTGACATTTTCACAGCAGTGAAGACCATCACAGATCAGAAATGTTTACTGGATTGAATATTTACAGCCTAATCACCTGATTGGTATAAAACAACAGTACTTGAAGCTGTCATTTATTACAATAACGGATCTATTAAAAGTACGTCGAGAGGTGATGTCTGCAGTGAAAAAGAATCGTGAACGACATAAACATAATAACTTCTACACAGAAATGCTTACAGCAGCTCTTGTTATAAAGGGAGATACTGGTAGTACCAGGAAGATGGCTGACCAGATGGAGAACGTAATTGATATAAGGTACTATCAGAAAGATTATTGTATGTTAATTGTACATATCTGCTTTTTATAAAAATATTTTCTACTGTTGGCATATTTCCTAACCTGACAACCTAATCTAAAGAAAATGATGATCAGTGTTAGGAGTAAAAACTCACAACATAAAATCTTGAATAAAAAAGTTACAGTCATTTCCTCTCATATCATTTCCAATTAATTTTCCATAATCTGAGCCATTAACCCAGAATAAATAATTAAGAACTAATGTGCACGCGCTCACAAACACACACACACACACACACAGAGATACATGTACAGGTGTCTTGGGAGGACGTGCCAAATTTCAGGAAGTTTTTAATAAAGTGATTTTGAATGGAAAATATATTCAAGAAATACATTGGGTGCTCAAATTCAGACTATGTTTATTATCTGAACAATGTTGTCTTGCTGTTCAGTTTGACCCTGAAGTGGAAGTTTAAGGAAACCATTTGGTTTCTCACTGATGTCTCTGAAAAGTGCACAAAAACAAAGTTGTTTTATTTGAAACTCATTTTTCCTGAAGATCACTTGTTCAACAACCTCCTGATGTTGGGTCACTTTCTCCTGACTCATTCTGTCTGTATGTATGCATGCTTCTATATCTTTTGAACTGATATATGTAGGATATATGTATTTTTCATGAAGTGTGTCACTGAGTTTGTATTTGAATACCTTATAAATGCAAACCACTTCTGGATCATCTGCCAAGAATGTATATGAACAGGTCCCTGACAATCTGAAGGGGATGGAGGGATCCGGTTCATATGGACCTGTCATCAGACAGAACACTAAATAATAATAGAACAAGTAATGGAGAAATGTTTAGTAAATTTTATTGAATAAAGAAAACTGTTAATATATAGTGTACCATCCCCCCAATTTCTTACAGAGAATATGATGTGCCTTATCATGTACGAGTGGCCATTGATATGAAGGTGTTCTGTGGAACATGGTATTCTGTTCGGAGCAGAGGGAATGAGGTGCCTCTCATAACAAAGAGAGATGATCTAATAGAACGTCCTGATCCTATTGTCCTGGCATTTGACATAGAAACAACTAAATTGCCTCTAAAATTTCCAGATGCTAATACAGATCAGATCATGATGATCTCCTACATGATTGATGGTCAGGTAAGTTGCAGCAATTGATTAAACATGTTAAATTTGTTTAACATTATTGAATTGGTGTAAAATGCTATTGTTAATACAACTGAAATAAATGCTGTATGTCCATCTCTGAAAAATAACTTTAGTTGTACCTGTTTAATGCTATCATGCGTTCCTTGCACAAAGTGTAGTGAGAACGCATCATAGTCTGATCATGTCTGTTCGTCCATCTGTCTGTCCAGTTGATTCGTCTCAAGAACCACTGGACAGGTTTGGACGAAATTTGACGCGGAGGTTTTTCTATTCTGCACGACCTCAAAAATGTATTTTGAAAATCTTGTGAGTGGTGATAACAAAATAACATAAGGAAAGTCATGATGTAGACATTGAGGTGCTGCAATCTGGTGGCCAAAGAGGGAACTATCAAACTAGGCGGATTTAATACCTCTAAATGCATATTGCAAAGAACACAGAAGGATATTATGTGTATTCTGGTATGGAATACACTTTCTGAGTTTGTTTTATTTTGTTATTTAAAACTATATAGGAATTTGTCAATGTTAGATGTCTGGGTTGTAACACTCTGTGAACTTCAGCCCTGAAAATGGAGGCAGCGTGTTCTTTTGAATTGTTGGTATCTACTTACAAGTCCACACAGCATTACAACCTAGAAGACCAACATCAATATCTTTGCCATGAGGACCTCAAATTTTGTATAAAGGAATTCAATACAACTTTGGGGAATGTAAGATAATATTGTCATGCACTGGAAAGGGAGACATTTTGATGAGGATATCAAAAATTGTGTGCATAAAGCATCAACAACACCACTTTACTGCAACAGCCTGTAATAAATATCATTAGAATTACAGAGTTATAGCTATTAAGTGTTAGAATACTGTGTTTATATTTGAGGTATTAATAATACTGAATATTCCTTTGTATTTTTTATGTAAGTTTGAAGCTGAGGCAGACATATGAAAATATTAGAGTAACACTTCAGATACTGGGTTTTAGATATTCTTTTTGTTTTAATGTAAGCAAAGAACACCTTGTGGTCCTGTTCATAGCTGTTGTCGACAATGGGACCTCTAGTCCCATTGTTAGAGCCGAATGTCTCAGAACATAG